TCTTTGTGGTGCAAAACAAACAAACAAACAAACAAGAAAAATAAAATATTTCTATGTACATTTATACCTCATTTCATACTCAGCAAAATGTTTTCCTACCTGCTATCACCACTCTCATCTTCTCAGCAGCTCTATGAGGGACACAGAGACAGAATTATCCTCATTTTGTGCATGGGTAATTTAGGCCCAGTTAAGGAAAGTTGCTTTTCTGAGGTTGGCGGAAGCACAGAGAAAGGAATCCATGACTCCAGCCCCCTTTCTCTGTCTCTTGCCACCTGCCAGTTCTTCTTCTTATTATTTATTTCTGATTTTCCTCTTTTTTTCCTCTCTCTCTCTGACTTGGTTTCTCTGTTTTTCTCTTTCTGCTTCAATTTCCCTCTCCCTCTTGTTCCAGCCCTCAGACTGGCAGCAGATTTGCAAGCTGCACAATTTTCCTTACTCTGGAAATCTGACAGGCCCACGGGCACAGCCCCGTGCCACCAAGAGAGCTCAGTACCTCTGCCCAGAGCAAGCCCTTTCCGGATGCCAGAGTGCGGAGATTAACTGGATGAGGATCCTAGCCTCGCCATCTGGCCCCAGATAAGATAAGAGTAGGGATGGGCATTATAAACAGGCCCCTATCCTTCCCATGGCCTAGGCCTCAGCTAGCTGAGGCCACGTCAGCCCAGGACCAGCATGGCCATCCGCCTGTGGGTGGTCACTTTGGCTTTGGCTGCCCTCCTCATTGTGGACAGGGGTAAGTGGGCAGAGCCTGGATTCTCTGTGGTTTGGTGTTGGCAGGTGAGCTTGGGTTGGGGGTAGAGGCAGGGCCTGGAGCACTCTGAGTTCTCAGTTTTCTGCATATACCTTCTTTCTGCACCCCTCCATTATAGTGGGGAAATCCCTGGGCTAAGAGAAGGGAAATCTGGGTTCAAAAATGACCTAGAATTGTAAAAATCCCCTCCCCTCTTGGGGCCTCCTTTTGTCTGTAAGTGGGAGGTTATTCTAGTTTAAAGCTGCATAGAGCAACTTCTAAACTAAGGAATCAGGGAGGCAGAAGGGAACAGGCCTACCTCAGAGGACATAGGAAAGGCTGCAGGTGGTGGGTGCTGAAGGAAGCCTGCTCCAGGTCCTCTGAGCTCCTGTCTGCTCTGACTGGCTACGGCCAGGGGACTGAGAGCAACCATGTGAACATGTGGGAACCCTCTTCCTGGGAGCACTTGCACTGGACTGGACACATGTAGCTGGAATGGGGCCTCCTCAGGGCCTGGGGCACTTTTGCAGTCTTACACTTGCTGTGTATCAGGCATTTTTCTGGGCCCTGAAGGCCTATCAGTGAGCAAAACAAAAAAGGACTTCCCTGATGGAGCTTTAATCTAATAGGGTAGGAGGGACTGGAATTGACAATAAACAAGCTTCCCTGATGGAGCTTTAATCTAATAGGGTAGGAGCGACTGGAATTGACAATAAGTGTAATGTACATTAAACAGTATGTTAGAAGGTAGTAAAAGCTAATGAAAAAGAATATGGGCAAGGGTGATAGGGATTGAGACAGTGTTGCAATGACAAATCAGGGGAGTTCTCCCTCAGAGGCTCGTGTTTGAGCAAAGCTTGAAGGAGGTGAGGGAGTGAGCCACATGGATATCTGGGAGAAGACTATGCCAAGTGGAAGAAATAGGCAGTGCAAAGGCCCTGAGGTAGGAGCATATCTGGAGTGTTTGTGGTATAGCAAGGAGGCCAGTGCAGCTGGAGGGGAGTGAGAGGCAGGATTCAGAGTGATGGGAGGGGAGATAATAGAGGCAACTGGGAACTATACTGAGAAAGGCCTTGAAGGCCAAAGTAAACTTGGTTTTTCCTCTGAGTGAAATGGGAGGCACTGAAGGTTTTTGAGCAGTTACATGGTAAAAGAATTGCTCTGGCTGTTGTTGAAAACAGACTAAAGGGGAAGCAGGGATACTATTTAGGACCCACCTAGACAAAGCTGTGATATTACAGAACAAGGCCCAGGAAGACATCAAGGCCATTGAGCTCATGGCCAGTCAAACACACATTTCCCCAGTTGAAGATATAGACCCAGAGGCTGGGACCACAGAAAGTGGGTCTGGGGGCTCTGGCCCAGCACAGCCTGCTTACTCTCAGGCTAGCTTTCCTTCCCTAAGTACTTCTCCTGTTGAGAATACTGAGGAGGCCTGCCCTGGAGAGAGTCCTTGTGCCCATTTCAGATTCCTGCCTTGGCTGAGTGAGAAGGGGACACCAAGGTCAAGTGCAGTCTGAGGGGTAAATACAACTTATTCCCACATCCTCCAGGAAGAAACTCTTGACACCACAGAGTTCTGAACTCCTCCTCAAAATGCACTTTAATGGTAAATTCTTGAACATTTGCTGTGTGGGGAGCACTGCCACATGGGGGCAGACAAGGGAGCCCCAAGGAGCTCAGGTCCATATGGAGGCAGGAGTGACCCAGTGAGGGAGACAGAATGTGGTGGCATGAAAGCAGCTGCTATGGTCTGAATGTGTGTGGCCCCCAACATTCATATGTTAAAATCCTAACCCCCAAGGTGAAGATTGGGAGGTGGGATGTTTGGGAAGTGATTAGGTCATGAAGTCAAAGCCTCATGGGATTTGTACCCTCATAAAAGAGGCCCCAGAGAGTTCTCAAGCCCATTCCACCAGTGAGGACATAGTACGAAGGCACCGGCTATGAACCTTGCCAGACACTAAATCTGCTGGCACCATGATCTTGGATTTCCCAGCCCCCAGAACTATGAGAAATAAATGTTGTTTATAAGCTACATAGTTTATGATATTTTTGTTATAGCAGCCCAAACAGACTAAAAGAGAAACCTAAATCTGGGTCTGCTCAAGAAACTCTGGGGGATATCAGGAAATCTGGATGTGGCATCTGAGCCTTGAAAGCAAGGTATGAATCAATAGGAAGAGAACAGGAATAAAGACATTCCAGGCAGAGGGAATAGTATGAGCCAAAGTAGAGCCTCTTCTGGGAAGAGTAGGCAGAGAGGAATAACTGGGGTGTAGGGACATGAAGAGGTGTACAAGGAAGTGAGTCCAGAAGGAAGTTTGGGATCAGTTCATGCAATGCCCTAAACATAAAATGAAGGAACTCAGTGATCATGACAGAGATCCATGGAAGGGCTTTATATCTTTTTAATGTTTTTTTTTGTCCCCTAACAGTTACATACCATGAAATGCACAAATCTTATCAATGAATCTTATTTAATGAGTTTTGACAGTGCATATATCTGTATAACCCAGACCTCTATCAAGAAATAGAATATTTCCATCGCCCCAGAAATTTCCTCTTCAGTCAATCCCTACCCCCAACCCACCCCTAGAGGAAACCACTGCTCTTTGTTTCACATTTGGACTTTTCTAGAATGTCACATAGAAAATTGCATTTATCCCCAGGATGCCCTTGATCTTGACCTGCACACAGTACGTAGTTTTTTGCGTCTGGCTTCTTTGGCTCAGCTTCTTTTGAGATTCAGCCATGTTGGTGCATCATCAGTTGTTTGCTCATTTTTATTGCTGAGTTGTATCCCACTGTATATGTGTAACATAGTTTATCCATTCTCCTGTTGAAGGACATCTGGTAATTTCCAGTTTTGGCAACTATGACATAGAAGGGTTTTGAACAGTGTGGAGATAAGGCTCAATTTGCATTTCGATGTCCCAATACCGGGACACCAGAGGTCACTTAGCTTCAGTTCCTTTCTCTCTCTCTACCTTGGAAATCTCTTATAGTAGCATTCCCAGGAAAAACTAAAACCATAGTGATGGAGAGAACTCCACTTCTGGAGATAGCCCCCTTCATTGAGGCATAGCTCCCACTGAGAAAAAATTCCAAAACCCAAACCTGCCCTTCTGAAGCCTTCTCGTACTGATGGGGTCTGCTCTCTGAGGTTAGGAAGAGCTCATCTCTCCCTTGGCCCCAAGACAGCCCTTCAGAGACTTCAAGAAGTATTCACCCTTCTCCAATTTACCTAGACACCTTTCCTTCCTCCTGTGGTGTTAGATACAGCTCCTGTTCCCTCATTCACCTGTCAAACTTGTCAGTCACATCACAGTGTTCTCAGGTCCTGTAAGCAGTTCAGCCAGATCTTGAGGGACCCTGGGCACACCTGTGTGTGTGGAAAGAGCCAGGCTGAGGAGTGACAGACCATTGTGCAAATCCCAGCTCTGCTCTTAACAAACTGTGTTGCTTTGCCTGAGCCTTTCATAGGTTGGTCAAGTTCCCCAGGAAACAGACTCAGATCTGCATGCAGTTTATGGGGGAGTGCTGATGGGGATAACACCTGTGAAGGATGAGGAATTGACTGTGATGCAGTGCAACAGAGGCCTCTGATGATACTATGGGGAGCTTTGGAGCTGGGGTGGCCTTCCGACATTGTTCTGAACAGAGAAGAGGGGTTTGGGCCATGGTACCCACATCAACCTGTCATTGGATATGGGCTGTTCCCAGGTAGGGGATGTGACTGACCTTGGGCAAGGTAGCTCTGTTCTCTGGGGTTAATTCTGAGGAAGGGACTCACTATGAGTGGCTAATACTCTTGGCAACTGAGGAAATGAATGCCTCAGTCCTGCAAGTGGGCTCTAGGTAACAGATCACAGCATCCACTACTGTCTCTTTTCCTGTTACATAGTAATGAGAGAGGTGTGAAGAGTAGTAAGATCGTGTATTCTCAATGTCTGGCACACAGTAACTGAATTATTTTTATTATTACATGAGACATAACAATTCCAGTGGAATTTGACTAATAAGGAATAGGCTGGACTGTCACATCCCCCTAATTCTAGACTTTCTGTCTCTGTTCATGTAACCCAAGGTTACAACAGCTTTCTGGGAGCCCGCCTTTCTGGTGACTCACTACATTTCCTTGAGGAATTCCAGATTGTGTAGTGTCTGGAAGAAGGCGTCCTCAGACCACCGGACCTGGGGCCTAGAGCTAACATCACCTAATTCTTGCTGTTTTGCCTTTCAGAAGTGCCAGTGTCAGCATGAAAGTTCATCTTCTCAAGAATGGTAAGGCAGCCGCTTGCAGTTCTGGCTTTCCCTCTGCAGAGGGAGCCCTCCCATCCATGCTGGGAAATAAGCATTTTCCTTTACACTGCTCCTATGGCTCCATGGTGGCCAGGGTGGCCTCCTGAGCCTGTGTATTTCCAAGGCTAGTCCTTCCAGGCTGAGCAGGCCCAGGTCTGAAAGTCTCAAACCTGACATCAAGGCCCTTGAGAGATCTGTCCCAATCTGGCCTCCAAGGCCCCTGCCAACAGTGAGATTCCCCCTACCCAAACTGAGCAGAACCAAGGGCACTCTGCTTTGTATAATACAGGACAGGCCACAGAGTTCCGGCCAAAGGAGTGACCTGGAACATTAAATGGCCCTGTGGAGATACCAGCCTCCCCACCTACACCCCAACATCTATCCCTTCACTCTGGAGCACAGACACCAAGTTATCCATGAACACTGATTCCATCTTGACCCTGGGTCTGATGTCCCCAGGGATTCCAAGGCAGTGGTGGTGGCCTCCTTGAGACCCTCAACCTACCCTTCAGATATGTGAGTGAGAGACTCAAAGCCACCTTTCCATCTAGAAGCTTCACGATTTTCACCATCAGCCCATCAGAACCCAGCCCCACTTACTCTATGTCAGACAAAGAGCCAAATACTGTACATATATTATTTCAATTAACTCTATGTGAAAATACTTTTAGAGTGTTTGCAGATGAGAAAACTGAGGCTTGGAGAGTGGACATAGCTCACCCAAGTTTACACAGCTAATTGGTGCCAAACTCGGGTCTCTTGGGCCTGAAGCCTTCACTGCTACATCGTACTGCCTCCCTTCCCCGTCCCTTTCCCAGGCCCTGATCCCATCCTCAACTAGTTCTGAGCCTGACCTCAGGCCTGGCCCAAAACCTTTTGAGGCTGAGCCTCAATTAAGTCCTAAGCCCTGTCTCATTCCTCTCGCCTTCCCACACTGGTGGCCTGATAGGTTATATAAGCCAATGTGAGTTCAGGAGCCCCAGTCCTAAGCCCTGTCTCATTCCTCTCGCCTTCCCACACTGGTGGCCTGATAGGTTATATAAGCCAATGTGAGTTCAGGAGCCCCAGGGGAGGAGGGGCCTCCTGGGAATTAAGATGCCAGCAGCAGGGGTTCCAATTAGACTATGTGAGGAGTATATGAACTCATCCCCAGATGCTTAAGGGCACACACTCACTCCACGCACATAAACACATGCATACTTGGAAGCCTGTATACTTGGACTCAGTAGATACAGGTACACACTAATGTACACACAGTCACAGCCACACACATGGTCATGCATGCACACACAAATAAACATGCCAAGGGGCCCTGAGTGGTTGGTTTCATGCTCCCTGGACCCACACTGGCTCTTCCATGAATCCTGAATCTGGCTCCTCCATGGCACCCCTCTGGCTCTAAGCAGAGCCCCTAGGTTCTTCCTCCCTGCCTCTGAATCCCTGAGTGCCCTCCCTCCCTTCTTCTAGCCCATCTGTGAGCATATGGCAGAGTCTCCGGACTGTTCCCAGATGTCCAACGTGGTCTGCGGCACTGACGGGGTCACATATAACAGCGAATGCCAGCTCTGCTTGACCCGGATGTAAGTCCACTCTGCTTGCTGGGATGGGCCCTATCTCTGGTGCATACAAGTCTGAAAGAAACGAGACTTGATCTGCATCTCCTTTCATATACACTTGACTGGAAAAGAGTATTCCAACATTCGCCCCTAACAGAATGAGCAAAGGACATAATTCATGCACACGGCTCCAAGCAGAAAACCACAGCTGATTAAGAGGTTAAGGGTAAGGGCGGAAACCCTGGGTTTGATTCCTTGTTCTGCCCCTGACCTCATTTGTTCATTTATTCTTCTAGCCAACAATTATTTATTGAGCACCTACTATGTTCTAGGCACTTGGGATACAAGAGGGCATAATAAGCTAGAGAGCATCACTGGCTTCCTGGGGCATAAGGTCAGTTTAAGGGGAAAGCCAAGCTGATAGTTAGCCAATTGCAGCATAGAATGCTAAAGGCTCCAATGGGAGTGCACAGCGTTCTGTAGATGCAGAGCAAGGGCAGGGAATACTTCCCCAAGGAGGGGACACCTCAGCTCAGCTCTGAGGGTAAGTAGAAATTAGCTAGGAAAACGAAGAAATAAAGGAAGGTAATGCCAAGCAGTAAAATGAGTTTAGAAAGGTCTAGGAGGGAAAGAAATTTTGTATTTGAGGCACTATAAAAAGTTGGATATGCTGGAGCATAAAGTTTAAAGAATAGGGGAGAGGCAAGAAATAAGTCTAGAGAGGTGGGCAGAGCCAGAATATGACCTTGGTATGTCCGATCACTCATTTGGTCTCATGTCTTCATTAATAAGACCCTTGAGCCGGGCAGAGCTAAGTGAGATCATGGAAGAGGAGAAAGTTTTTAGAAGCTGCAATGCTCTATACAGATATGCAGAAGAGCAGCAGGGCAGTCCTAATTTAAAGATCATGATTACTAAACACTCATGGTTATAAGAGGGAGAAATGACAGGATGTGAGGGGTGAGGGGGTACAGGGAGGAGGCAAAAGCAACATGCTGTTTTCTAACTTGTGGCTTTGGGCAGTTGGTGGTGCCATGTGCCAAGAGGGATGGGGGATATAGCAGGTTCGTGGGGCAATGATGTTTGTGGACAGATGTTCGTGGCAATGATGTTGAGCCTCTGGGACATCCCAGTTGAGGTATGCCTAGAGTTCAGCACAGAGGTCTGGGCCGGAGATAGATTTGCTGCCTGGATCAGCAGGCATTAGTTAAAACCCCAAGAAGCCGAAATCTCCCAGGGGGAGGTTGTATAAGAGGGAAAAGCTATAGGATGTGTTCAGGGACCCCTGGGACCTGCCCTGTACCATAAACTGAGTGGGCGGGTAGGGTTCAGCCGTGTGTCTGGGTGGACTGCACCAGGGTCCCTGAAGGGTATGTGTAAGTTCCTGAGGAGGTGGCCTCACCCCTGTTTCCTGTGATCCTAGAAAAACCAAACAAGACATCCAGATTGTGAAGGATGGCCAATGCTGATCCCACAGGAGCCTCTTATGCCATGACGCTTCAGGATGGAGAACAGTGGTGGAAGTGGAGAGGATGTGACATGAAATAAAAGATCCAGCCTAACCCAGTCAAGTGGGCCAGTGTCTTTGGGGACTTTGGGGAGGCAGTTGTGGGAGCAGTGGGGGATCTTGCCCTGTCCTCCCTACTCTGAAACTGATATCCCCTCCATTGCTCTGGTGCTCCTCAATCCTGTCACATGCCTCATAGATATCCCAGGTATTTTTTCCCACTTTTTGAGAGGCCGGCCCCTGGCCCTAGGACTCTCTCTGCCCAGTGCTCCTGTCTGTCCCAGCCTGGCCTGTCATTGAGGCCAAGAACCTAGGTGAGATCTATACCCTCCGCCAATGTCAGGGTGCATGGACAAGCTTCGGAAGCCTTGTTGAGGGTTCCACAACTCCTCATGGCTTTCTCCCTAGGTAAACCAGCACCCCAGTGTCTCTCTCTCTCTCTCTCTCTCTTTCTCTCTCTCCTCTCTCTCTCTCTCTCTCTCACACACACACACACACACGACATGAACACACCACAGCTGATATTCAGGTGGTATACATGGTACAACTGAACTACTTGTTAAAATATTGAACTAGGTCTATAATAATTGAGACAGGTGCTGCCCCAAGCCTTTGATGTCCCCCTGCACCCTGGCCACCCTCAGCATGATGACTCCAGACCTTGCTCTGCTCTTTTGGTCAACATCCACTCTGATGCGTTGTTAAATATGTTGACATTAAACACAACCCCAGGCATACACAGCACATATACACTCATACAATGACCCGCAGGAACATACAACATTCAGAAATCTCAAGAGGCTCCAGCCTGTGGTACACATCAAACATCTTCTCTTTAGGCCAAAGCCCATAGGAGAAACTTCTTGATAATGGTGTGGTGGGGAGCAGTGTAGAGAGGGGCCTGGCCAGGAGGGAGAAATTTCACATGGACTTGAATTCCTGCTCTAGGGTGGACAGATAACATAGAAAATGCTCTGTGGGAAAACACACACACTAAGGACTGGGAGGAAAGTCAGGGCAGGGGAGGCAGGAGCCAACATTCCCTGAGCCACAGAAATGGAAACCTAAGTAGTAATTGACGCTGATAGAGTCATCACTATTATGGGCCCTTCTACCACTACTGATAGAAACTCCTGTTTCCCACCTCAGTATGAATAATATAGGATTAAGTTTGGCCCCGAGAAACCAAAAAGCCAAAATAACAGTGGTTTAAACAGAAGTTTTTCTTTCAGATCTATGTAGTATGCCCAACTCCATGCTCCTTTTATATTGTTACTCTGACATTCACATCAGTTTCCATCTCAAGGTCCAATACAGCTGCTCCAAATCCAGCCATCATGTCTGCATTCCAGCCCACAGAGAAAAGGACACACTACTGAAGATGCTTCCTATAAGATGTATGCATCGTTTACATCCCATTGGCTAAAATGTAGTCTCTTGTCCATGCTAGCACAAGGAGACTGGGTAATAGAGTTTTTAGCTGGTTGGCCATGTGCTAAGCTGCAAATTAGTTCATTTATTGTAGGAGGAGAGCGTATATTTGTGACATCTAAAAGTCTCTGCTCTAAGTGGGATGCCCCTCTTTCATTCAAGTGGCACAGCTCGGCCAACCTTGTCCCTAGTGAAGCCCTTCCAAGTTTCCGCTCACACGATGAGGAATCACAAAGATTATACCTGAGCAATGTACCAGGCACCAAGGTGGAAAAAATACCTAATTCCCCACTTTGGAAACTGTGGCCTTATCTCTGGGAACCGCCCTGAAACATAAGTGTGGGCTCCTAAAGGCCCTATCAATGGCACATGACCCTGCTGCCCTGGCCATTGCAGATCTGGCCAAAAGATTCTTCTGGATTTTTCAAATTGGAAACCAGGATACAGAGGCAGTTCCTCTCTAGCAATGAAGTTATAAAATGTGCAAAGTAGGAGCTGCTGGCAGCCATGTTTCCTACTTTGTGGAAGAAGCAAGATTGAGGGAATGATGCTGACATATACAGCTGACCTTGAACTTTCCCGAGTTACATGAGATAACCTGACATCCTGCCAATAAATTTTCCATTTCAATAATCTCTTTGAAATTTCCGGTACTTTCAACTAAAAGAGGACTACTTCCAGACAAAGAAGGGCTTCTCAGATGAGTTAACCTTTAAATTGTGCCTTGGAGAATAATTAGAAATCATTGACCAAACAGAAAATATATGTGAGAATCTTCCTGCTCTGTAAGGCTGAAGGAAATTTGTGGGATCAGAGCCTCATTTGTTCCCCCACAGTAGGACTGATTATGTCCCAGGAAAGCAAGCAAGTGAGATGTTCTCTCCCTGTTCACAGGCATAGGTACCCTGTGGATGGGCAGGTCTGCATGTAAGGGCCAGGTACACAGGCCTCAGTCACCACCCTGCACATCTGTTGCATAGCTCACACCTTATGGCCTCTTTTTCAACCCTTAAATAAGATGATGGCTATTGATGCTATAAATCCCAATGCTGATGGAGCTTCAGTGGCGGAGTGGATTTTCACTATTGATGTGTGCATTCAACAGTCATTCGTTCTCCAAAAATTTATTGAGCATCTACTATAAACCAGACAATATGCTTCAAAAAGATGCTATTAACAAAACAAAGTAGCTCCTTAACCCAAGGAATTTACATACAGTCCAGTGTTAAAGGCAAATATTAAATAAAATAATCCCATAAAGAAATCATCACAGACTATGATACATGCTGCAAAAGAAAAGTTATGGCAAGCTGTGAGAGGGGACTTGATATGTTCTCAGACAGTAGGTAAGGTTTCTCCAAGGAAGAGAGGTTTAAGTTCTGAAGGATGAGCAGGAGTTACCTAGGAAAGGGGTGAGAGTGAAGGAAGGGTGGTGAGGAGCTGTCCAAGAAGACCAGAGTGTGTAAAGAGCCCAGGATAAAAGAGGGTAGAGAGCATATGAGGACCTGAATGAAGACCAGAGCAGCTGACCACAAACAGCAAACAGAAGAGTGGCCTGAGATGAGCTAAAAGAGGGTGTAGGGTAAGGATTTTGGCCTTTATCCTAAGAAAAATTGGAAGCCATTGGAGATTTTTAAGCAAGGGAGTGACATAAGATTTGTACTTAATAGTCACTCAAGATGCTCTGTGGAGAATGAACTGAAGAGGACCAGAGAGGAAGTGGAGAGACCAATATGGGAGACAGAGGGAGAGGAAGAGAGAAAATGAGAACACATAACCCTGTGTTGGCTGGGAGGCAGGACTGTAGAGATTAAGAGCATGGGCTCTGGATCAAACTGCCCAGACTGGTGTTCTGGCTTTGCTACTTACTCTACGACCTTGAGCAAATTATCTAAGCTTTCTCAGTTTCCTCATCTCTAAAATGGGATAGTATCTGTTTACCTTCTAGGTTGTATGAGAATTAAACAACTAATACATCTAAACTACTTAAAAGTTATCTGGAACACAGTGACTTTTCATTAAATGCTGTGTCAAACAGCTACCACATAAAAACAGGTAACTACCAAACTGCTCTAATTATAGTCGGGGGTAGGATCGGCTGGGCCCTGAGCCTCATGCACTTCTCTATCCCTACCACAGCCTTCTCCTAGGTCCCACCCACGCAGTCCTAAATTCCTGGGGATTCAGTGATGCCCTCTCTGCCAAATAAGGTTGGCTTCAGAGTGGCCTGTCAGGAACTTGTCTCCTGGGCACTGTGTGAAAAAAATGGGGTGACAACAGCTGACCATTTAAAAAATTCTAGCACACAGGGCCACTCTCAACTTTATTAAAATTATGACTAGAACCAGAGACTTTTGCTTCTCATACTTCAAAGAAAAGTTTAAACACTCTTCTGCTTGATTTGTATACAAACTGTTTTTTAAATAACAATGAGTGGGGGTGGGGTGGGGTGGGGTGGGCGGAGTGAGGCCACAAGAGACAGAAACAGCCTTGAAGGAAATATAATCTCAGAAGGCTACTGCTAACAGAAATGCCTTTGAAGGAACTCTTGAGAAGTTTACAGTTGCCTGTCTTACTCACTCTGGCTCCCCTCTCTTCCTTTCCTGAGCCATGGTTCTGACCTGGTTTCAAGTAGAGATTCAGTCAACACTGGGTTCCAACCTTCCACAGATTTGCTTAGGCACAAGAACGTCCACGCATCAGCCACAGGCCCCACCCCAGGAATAAACCCCTAGAGATCTCGTGGCCTGTGGCTGGGCAGAGTTATTGGGAGGTGAGGACAGGGTCTGTGAACCAACGACCCAGCCAACTACTCCAGAATTAGGTCACGACGAGGGATACTTGGACTACCTTTGTGCCAAACACCAGTTCCGAGCCATTCCCAACACTCCTGACCAGATGCAACCTCCGGTGATTCTGGTTTACAGCTATGGGGCTACAGGATCACAAAAGCACAAACGCCTCAGGTATCTGAAGACCAGGGTGGCCTATGTACCGGAACTACGTCAGGATGAATGAGAGCTCTCACTAGTCTAAAGAAAGTACCCAAAAGTCAAAAGAGCTGAGAAGACTTGGGCAGGGTAGGCCATCCCCAGACAAGGTGGGCTGCTGGATAGCACAGCTGCACAGAGACAGATGAGAAAACAGACAGGAGCTCTACTTAAGATTGTAAAGACAATACTTGTTCATTGAGAACAGGTGTAGGAGAAAGAAAACTGGTAATTGGCCAATTGTCCCCAGCAGCTCTAGAGAAATCCGGTATCTTCTGTTCCAGAGAGGGCAGAGTGGGTAGTGCTGTTCGTCAAGGCAGTACAGCCTCTCTGTCTCCACCTCACCTCATTCGGCCAGGGCCAAGTTTGTAGATTGCAGGCGCTCTGTCTCCTGGCAGATGTTCTGCTCCACTGTGTCGCACTCAGCTAGAAAAGCCTAAAGATAAATGTAGTGTGGTGAGGGCCCCTCCAGGGCTAGCCAACTCCTGCTCATGCAAGGCTCTGTGTTCAGCCATTCTGGGGAACCCATGGGTGACTAAGGCTAAAACAGGCTGTGCAGGGATGGCCTGGGCTCCAAAGTAAGGAGAGGGAGATAGAGGAAAGCATAGGACCAGGATTTCTGACAATGCTGTAGGCCCACAACCCCCAGAAGGATGGTGAGGACAGGAAGCCTTGCCACTGCAATTCCACAATTTCAGTGCGGCACTGTACATATAAATGGTGCCTCCTGGAATTGTGATCTTCTAGTGATCTTCCTTCCCAATTAGTTTATATTCATATATATAATTATAACAACATGAAAGAAACAATTCTCTTATGTTCTGGGTTCATGCTGAGTAACAACCAAAAAAAGCCACACACACTTCTACTATATCCTACTTTGAACAGATAAATACACATACCAACTCATTATACTTTGTAACACTTATCACACAACTCACCTGAACCCTTTTCACCAAACCTTTCCTTTTCAATCTACTGTCTTTGAAATTTTCTGGCAGAATCTATGGAAGAATAAGTTGACACATAAATAATCTTCAGTGAAAATGGCTTAAGAACACATCAGAAATACCCACAGTACACAAAAGTCACAGGTCACCAATGTGAATGAGACATGTACTTTTAGAAATCATTTCTCTGGGTCTGTATCCTTCATGGCCCTTCCATGGCTCTCACCCTATAAAAGCTCCCTTGTTCTCAATGTCTAGGCCATAGGAACTGATCTGTAACAGTCTGTCCTTTCACTGTTTCCTATGGATGGATACTATATCCTAGACAGGCATAAGTTCACTATTGTAGAAAAAGCACCTTCTGCTGCTTCTTTACATCCCCCCTCACCCACCACTGAATCCTAGAGTAATTCGTCCTCAAGAATGAGGTATCATGAGACAACATAGCTGGACCTTGAGGGTATTATGCTAAGTGAAATAAGTCAGACAGAGAAAGACAAATACCATATGATTTCACTTATATGTGGAATCTAAAGAACAAAATAAACAAATAAAATAGAAATAGAGTCAGATATAGAGAACTGATGGTTGCCAGATGGAAGCCGGGTTGGGAGGCTGGGTGAAAAAGGTGAAGAAATTAAGTACAAACTGGTAGCTACATAGTTATGTCAAGTGAGTACTAGACTTACCAAGGGGATAACTTCATAAACTATATCAAATGTCTAACCACTATGCTGTACACTTGAAACAAATATAAAATATTGAATGTCAACTATAATTGAAAAAAAAGAAGCTGGTGTAATTTGTCAAATGATTTAGGAGTGAAGACACTGATATAACCAACTGGATATAAATCGACTTTAGGTAATAAGTAGCTTTAGGTAATAAGACTTTAAATAAAAAGACTTTAGGTGATAAGCAGAAAAAAAAAGGGAATATGGCCTCAATGATTCCCAACAGCCTCACAAGAGCTGGGTCTGACTGCATTCTGTACAGGAAATGAGCTTAGTGGAATATCAGTCACATGGATATCAGGAAAGTGAAGCCCTGTGTTTCTCTGACCATGAGACCATGGACCATTTGGATCTCAACTTCATGACGATTAGATGCTACTAGCGTACATAAACAAAAAAGATAAAAGCCCTATGTTGGTGGGATGTGAGTGCCTAGAAATCAGGAAATGTCTTCAATAAGGGTAAGTTACTGAAAGCAAGAAACTGACAGAAATATAGTCAAAGGAAACTAGTTCTCAGTTGAATATTCACTTACTAGTGTGTCAATCTCCTCCAAGATCTTCATAAACTGCTCGATTGTGGCTTTTACTCTCTTATCAAGTTTACAGAGAGCTTCAGCTTGCAAATCCTTGGCCAGAAAACCCTGTGAAAGAATAATGCAGTCTTGCAAGGTTTCCTTGAGGCTGATGGAAAACTCCAAGCCAAGCCAAGCCACTGATGAAGCAACCACACCCTGAAATCACATTCTCCACAACAGGCTGGGCTAGATATCAGATCCACAATTTCATCTCTTGGGGGAAAAAAAAACCAAAAAACAGAAAAGCTGGCCTTGGGTCACCCCAAGCACAGTAATAGGCCATTCTATCTCATGTGGCCCTCCTGAGATCTGGCTCTGGAGAAGCCAGAAGCATATACCTACACACACAAGGCAGATGATAACAGCACGGGATTTAGAGTTTGGCAGGTCTGGGCTTAAATTCTGACTTCTATTTGTTGGCTTATGATCTTGAACAAATTATTTAATCTATCTGTGCTTCAGTGTCCTCATTTTAAAAATGAAGATTATGATACCTACACCCCATAGCGTTACTATGAGGATAAAGGGGAATATATGTAGACCCTTAATATAATTTCTGACAGAGACATGTGCTAACAAATAGCAGCACTTACATTATTTTTATCAAATTGTCTTGCTGTTTATTTGCATTGTTTGGCCAAATGACCAGTTAGCTGGTGACAACAGGGATCTCTGAGGATGTTTATCAAAGCCGGAGTTACAGACGCATATTTGACAATGTGTAGTAAACATTAGCCAGCAATTCCAACTCAAAGAATTTATTCTACCAAAAAAATTAGAAATAATCAAAGAAAAAAAGATTTATGTCCAAGGACAGTCAAAGAAGCATTACACAAAATGGTAAAATAATGTTCGATAATGAACAATAGAGAATTGATTAGGTAAACCATGATACATTCATATACGATGAAATGTTATGCAAGTTTTGAAAAGTATGATTTTTTTTTTTTTATTATGGATCACTTCACAAATTTACATATCATCCTTGCACAGGGGCCATGCTAACTTTTTTATTATGGATCACTTCACAAATTTACATATCCTTGCACAGGGGCCATGGTAACCTCTGTATCGTTCCAATTTTAGTACGTGTGCTGCCAAAGCAAGCATAAGTATGATCATTTTTAATGATAGGAAACCATTCAGTTTTTTAAATCCAATTAAAAAACAATCCACAAAGTGTACATAACATCATACCAATATTTTTAGGATGGAAAAATAAATTTCAGTTTTTAGTAATGGTTATCTTTGAGTGGGGGCCTTATAGATAATTTTTATTTTCCATACTAGTGTCCATATGTTTTTATAAAAGTTATATATAATAATATGTATTACTTTTATAATTAAAACACAAACATACATCGATTAATGTTATAAAATGATAAGGTCAAAAAGAAATAAGTCGTTTGGGGCTGTTTCTAATCCTTACTTGGTTTCAGTACTCCATCCAATACAAGGAATTGAATTGGATGACCACCATGCTAAGATCATATTCAACTTGAACCTTCCAGGAATCAATAAAATGTTCTTTGCTTTGCTAAACACATTATAACAACTAGACTGAGATAAGTTACTTATTCTTTTTCAAACACATGATCCTAGCATGGCAGGTGCTCTCCTAGGAGGACAAATGGATGCTGGCCAGGGTTTGAATATAATAATGATTAACACTTACAAAGCACTTAGCATGTCTCAGGCTCAAACTACATTATTTGTCACAACCACTCTAGGAGGGAGGTACCATTATTTTTCCTTTTTAACAGGTGAGGAACTTGAGACAAAGGCAGACTTGCCCACAGTGATAGAAAGGATAGAGCCAGGACCTGAACCCAAGGAGTCTGACTACAGAACCTACCCTCATAACCATACATTTGTATCTCTACAAAATTCTTAGAGAAGGTAAAAAGTCGAAGTTCACAGAGAGTTACCTGCTGGATTCCAGTAAGCTCTTTATTCAACTCTTCCAGTTGGTTAGCTATTTTCTCCACAGACTTCTCCAATTCTTTCAGCTTCTTTAGTTCAACCTCTTCTTCTGGACTATTCTAAAATGTTTAAGAGTAAAATGAAGCTAATAATCATCAAGAACAATATCTTGTTCAGAAAAAAAATCTGACCACAGTTGAGCTAAAATACTCACCTAGAAAAAAAGCTTTAACTCTGCTGCTTCTTGGAAAGCAAGCCAGAGGGTTAATATTAAGGTTTTCTATCTACAGAGACTCTAAAGAGAAGGTATTAGGTAAACATTCTTGTAAAAGCCCTGACAGCTTAGGATTCACAGAATGGAGCCAGATTCAACTTCAGCCTGGAGCTGATCATCGATAACCAGACTAAAGCCTGAAGAATGAATAAGTAACAGTGTACATCTATGAGATGTCCAGAATGGTGGGACAGGTGGAATTCTACTATCTTTTTAAATAGAATTCCAAAATGTCACCCACCAACTGAGCTTTCCCATTTAATGTGATGATGTTGATAATGATAAATACTTTTATTAAGCCTTCCCTCTATGCCAGGACTATCCTAACCACTTTACCTGTATTATTGTTTTAAGCCTTATCACAATAAAATGAGGTAGGTACTATTTTAGATGATGAAATTGAGGTTATTATAAGGTTACCTAAGATTACATAGCCCGAAAGAGATGGAATTGAGATTTGAATCAGATTTGGCTCCACATAACCCAGAACAGCTCCAATCAGAGTTCCCATAGCTTCTTAAACCGCAACCTTTGGGTTCTGCCCATTGCCTATCACCATTCTCCTTGACCCATGAGCAAGAAATCAGAATATTTCCCATTCTCTAACCTAAATAATTGGTAGGCAGGGCCAGCAGCTACCTACTTTTATATTATTCCAAATTGTTCATATTCTCCTTCGTGGCCAAATTCTAAGTGCCAGTCACCTGGTAGTTCCAAGTCTGGAGTAGATTTTCTTTGCCTCCACTTTGCTAATCTCTACCCTCTCTCCACTCTGAGCCACCTCATTCCAAGTTAAGGGAACTTCATATGACCAACAATTCAATTCCACTGTGTCACAATGCAGGGCTGGCTCATAGCCTTAATCACCCCAGAGGCTACTATCCTCACTTGTCAACAACTGGCTCTTTTTCTCCCTAGGTTATTTAGTCTGAACCTTTCTTTCCAGCCAGAATGTTTTTCTCTTGTGAGGAATTTTAGTTAGAGAAAAAAAAAAAAAAAAGAAGTGGTTAATGGGAGAGAGGCTCCTAAAACTTGCACAGAGCACTTATTTTTTAAATCTACAGGTTTATTTTAACAAAATGTTTTCTTGTAAATTCCCCCGAAGTGAGTAAGGCCTGTTGCAGGGACTTTTTAACCAGACTGAGATCCACCACCAACACAAAAGCTGTGTTATTGAAGCAACACAACTACTTTTAATTCCCAGAGAGAAAGCCCTGACCAACAGGAGCCAGAGGGCATAAGAACAAAACTGGTCATCCCAACAAACAAATGGAGACTACATCTGTTTAAAGAGAGCTATTTCACTAATGTAGAATGTAGATCCCCAATTTACCTTCTAAACAGAAATACACATAAAAGACCTTAGTCATTTGATTTAGGGGTATTCTGGTGGAAAAAGCAATTTACCTTTTTCCCAATTAACATGACCCGGCAACCATTTTGTATCCCAAGTGCAGACAATGGCTTCTCCAGTTCTTTCAGAGATTTTCCTGAAGAGAAGAAAGTTATGCCAAGTTGTAACAATTGCACAACACTGAAAATAGATTTCAGCAAGAGTACAGGAGATAAACAAGTGTGTTCACTAATGAGAAGAGGATAAATTGGTGTAACCTTTTTAGAAGTGTCTTGACCCAGTAATTTCACTTCAGATACTTATCCTAAATAAATAACTGGACATGTGCCCGCACAATAACTGTTATTCAATAATTTTCAGTGCAACTTTATTCATAATAGTGAGAAACTGGAAAGAGCCAAAAATTCAGGAATAGGGGACTGATTAACTATCAGTACAATAGAATACTTTGTAGGCATTAAAGCTCATTTATTCAGGAAACTTCAGTGCCACAACAAATGGTGATGACCTGGTGTCTGTTATAAGAAAAAACATTACTAAAACTGTATAATCAATATGATCCTAGTTTTGTCAACCAAAAAAAAAAACAAAACACAAATCTGCACTTCAAGATCCCAGGACAAACAAACGAAAAAAGGCTGGACAGAAATATGCTGAAATGTTATGAGGGGTTTTATCCAGGAGAACATTTTCTTCTTTGTGCTTTCTCTATTTTAAAACTTGGATTTCTATTACCTTTACAATTTTAAAATGAAATCTTTTTAAAAAGACAAGGAGTTACACTATGAAGTATAAATAAAAATGTTTTCCATCACTAAATTCTTTATGACTGGCACCAAATAGGGTAAATTTGGCCCCATAAGATACCAAAATAATGGGTTCCCATGGTAATGGGAAGACAGAGGATGGCATTGGGGAAGGGGTGGGTCCTGGCAGAAATCAGCATCATTCACTGGGCCTGCCACAGCCAGGCCCTTGATAAGTTTGCATTAGACACATAGCAGTATCTCTGCCTTCACAGAGTTTGTTGTTCTAATAGAAAAATCAGATGTTCAGCAACTATGAAAACAATTATTTAATAGTAATTTCAACATAAGTTATGCCGAACTGGAATGTGATATGACCATACAATGGGAAGAGGATCTAACTTAGCCAGGGAAGACTGCCCATGTGCTTCATCGAAAATGGTAAGATTTCTGCCACCCTCATATGACTTCATATATCTGTCCAAACGTTAGGAAGTATCCAGTACACAGTAAGTCTTCAATAAATATTTGCTGAAAGAATAAATGAATAAACAGCAAATAAGAACTGTCCCAGTTTGAAAACTGAGCGTTACCATTAGGTAAGGTAAAGCAGTTTTAAATAGGCCTTTTAGCCATAAGGGCTCAAAAGCTGGAAGAGAAATGCCTACCCTTAAATATGAGTTTCTGAAAAGGTAGTGGGACCCCTGTGGCCTCTTCAACAACTTGGGCCAGGTCTTGGACAGTTGGTTCACTAGAGCCTTGTTGTGGAGTAACATGAAGATCGTGCTTTTCATTGCCTGAGGAGAGAGAAAAGCATTCGATAAAGAAAACTTTTTCATATTATCCAATATAGGCTGATACTTTATTATACTTATTTACCCTGCCTTCAAGGCCCAGTTCATATGCCACTTACTCCAAATAGCCTGTCCCCTCATCTGCCCAGCCTTCCTCTGGTGACCTGCTCAGATTTTTGTTTCCTCTATCATGCTAATAACATTTTAAGCACTTAACATGCACAAGGGTCTGATTAGGATCATTTCATGCATTACTTTATTTAATCCTAGAACAACTCTAATGAAGTAGGTACTACCTATTTATTCCTCTTTTCACAGATAAGCAAACTGTGAGTTCTGTTCAATTAAGACCTGCCTATGGAGACCCAACTGTGGAGTCAAAACTTAACCCAAGTCCATGCTTTTCATCACAAGCCATGTGCCTCCCATGGCCTGACTGCCTTATATTTTGTACTGTACTGGGCTTCCTTTCCACTGCTACAATAGGCAAAGGACTGTTTTTCCTCCAAGTCTTTCCCACTGGGCACACCTGGGCACATGGTTGGTGCTCAGTAAATAGGCAAATTAGTAAATAAACTCAAACAGCAAAAAATTTCTTTTGTGAGCAGATCTGTCATTTCTTTTCTAGGTATGTGGACAGTAAGCCTGTGTCCAGTGCATTAGGCCAAGCCTTGAGCCCACTCAACAAGCATGGAGTCGGCAGAACAGGTGTTACCAACTCTACTTCACAGAGAAGAAAGCAGATGCCTAGAAAGGACACATCCCAAGGTCATTCAAAATTGGGGGATCTAGAATCCTGGTCTCCAGATTCTGAGGTCCTGGGGTCCCCCAGGGTTGGTCCTGAGGAAACCTCACCAACTCAGCTCTTCGCTGAATTGACTGTTTAGTTCTGTGTCAACTCCATCAGTAGGCAGACCCAAAGAGTGCCCAGAGTGTATGCTTGCTAGGACCCAGGGCCCACTCGAACAGCAGACATGAGTTCAGACTCCACACACATAGGTGTCCAGATACACAGCAGTCATCATACACATGGCCAAATAGAAGCCTAACAAAAAGATCCACAATAACTGTGCAGGCACACGCTAACACATACAACCAGGACCACGACATGAGCACCGACATCGTAGATGAAGCAAACGGCCTGAGACAAAATACAGCGGCCACATAGAAAAGCTGATCCAAGACCTGCACAAAAACCGGCTCCACGAACACAAACAAGCACCTACACTTCCGGACGCCGGGACAAACACAGAACACGAGTTTCCGGAAGACACGAGGCCAAACCCACAGACTCCGCAGGACTTTCGTAGCCCGGCACAGAGCCCACCCGGCCACCCGTGCTCACTGTGGGTGACGGTAACGATGAGCCCGGCTGCCGCCATTTCCTCACTCTGGGCCACCTCTTCGCTTAGGGCTACCTCTTCGCTTAGAGTCACTTCTTCGCTCTCAGTCACCTCTTCGCTCCCGGTCACGTCTTCGCTCCCGGCCACTTCTTCGCTCCGGGCTGAGCGAGGCCGCACTTTCTTCTTCACCCGCGGCCTGCGAGCGCCGGCGGCGGCGCCCCTGGTGGATCCCACATGCCCTCTGGCCACACTCTGGACAGATGATCTCTGAGAATGAGGCCGACCGCGCTCCGCTGGGGGCACCGACTGGCGCGACTCCCGGCCGAG